TGCCTCATGATCCGACAAGGCTGCATTCAACACAGAACATTCCGATATATTATTTTCCTCATAATTAGAGCAAACATAATCAATTGTACTTGACGAAAACTTAGAATAACGTGTGGGGATGGCTACATGCATCTGTAGATTACTGGACGCCAAAAGATTCTTCAGATTGATAGTATCAATCGAGCTTCCTTCATTAGAATTAATATTAAAGTCAATCGATCATTTTTTTTATTTATTGTTTTATCAAACAAAATGTAAAAGAACCTATGGTGCTTCAGTGGTAACTCACTAAACGTCACATAGATGGCGAAAAATGTTTTAAAATCCTCTAAATATTATAACTTTAGAACCAGATTTTGTTTATAAAGAATGTCATACTGCCAATAACTATAAAATCAACAAATTAAAAAAAAAATCCAAATAAAATTCTTCTGGACTACATTATTTCACACTCATGGAGACTTACGTCCTTACCTTGAAGTTCATTGCCTTGGATTAGTAGACTTTGGTGCTAGTAGAATTCTTGTCGGATTACTTGGTTACGAAGTTTTTCTACGCCTTGGGTTCAAACTTATTAAACAACATAATCCGCATGTAATACTATTGGTTATAGTCAGGTTCCCATGACTTTAATTGACAAAACAAAAATTATTGATGTTTAAGTACTTAATTTAAACTTTCCCATAAGCTAATATTTGGTGTAGATTTTTTGGAATCAATGGAAATCATTCCTGATATGGGTCAAAATGTTTGGCAATTTTCTGAAGCCCATGAACTAGCAGTTCAAGCTATCGAACACTTGAATCCTTCTGAGAAACAAGCTTTAGACGCTTTGGTCAAAGATAAAATTTCCCAGATAGATTCTGGCTTGGGATACTGTAAAGTCGCCGAACATATAAGATCATTCTTGAACCTGGTACAAGACCAATTAAACAAAGGTACTACCCCGTTTCCCCGTATAAACAAAAACTTATAGATGATGAAGTCCAGGAAATGTTGCGACTTGGGCCCCACGTTGGGCGCCAATTAATTTTCCACGCTTTTTCGGTGAATAAAAAGTTTAGGAAAAAATAATAATATTAAAAATAAAATAAAATTTGATGGATAGACGCTTTGATCAAAGACAAGATTTCCCAAATAGATTCTGACTTAGGATACTATAAAATCGCCGAACATGAGATCATTCTTGAACCTGGTACAAGACCAATTAAACAAAGGTACTACCCCGTTTCCCCGTATAAACAAAAACTTATGGATGATGAATTCGAGCAAATATTGCGACTTGCGCCCCACGTTGGGCGCCAATTGATTTGCCTCGCTTTTTCGGTGAATCAAAAGTTTAGCGGAAAAAAATAAAATAAATTAAAATATAATAAAATTTAATGGATAGGTACTTGAGATTGCAGGACTGGAAGTCGAAGTGCGTGCCAATTAATTCGGAGAAAATGGGTGGGTTTATTTTGGGACGCCACCGACTCAGGACAGATGAGTTGGACTCTCCAGGATGTTATTTGGCTCCAGGTCCTTACAATCCAAATTAAAAAAAAAAATTAATATATTCAAGATAAGCTAAAACTAGGCTGAGTGCATAAAACCAAATAAAAGTTAATATAAATCAAGTGCTATAGAATCTGTGGAATTGAAGAATTGTGGAATATAACCACAATGAAACAATAGCTGTATTGAAATAATAATAAAAAGGTAAATTATCAATATTACCAATCAAAGAGTGAAAACCTATTCAAGAAAATACAGTCAATTAAAGTGTCATTAATTAATAAATAAAGTAACCTTTTCATCAACAAATACAGGTAATGGCTATAATATAGAAATAAATGTTTTAGTCATGAACGATTAAATGAAGTGTGAAAATTGAAAATACAAAATAAAGAAAAATAAGAAAAAAAATAAAAATAAATAGTTGTCAGAGCGGTTACCTTACAGTGATGTAACCAGAACTACAAGTAATTCGGCATAAATAATCAACCACCTAAAACAGGTTATACCCTGCTGAATTTCCTATAATAATTGTTGTTGTTTGGTTTCCGTTGTCATAAGTACAGAATTACACCTTAAACATACCGCGGTGATCACTTAGGCGCACAAAATAGGGGCAAAATGTAAATAAATGATAAAATAAATATACCTAGGATAACTACAGCTAGTACGATACCATAATGTTCCACATGGTAGCAGTAGGTACAATTAACCAGATTAGTCCTGGGTACTGGTTGTGGTTAAGATGGTCAAACCAATCTTAAGGTTCAAAATCACAGTCCGGAAACATAACCGTCCAACTAGAAGGCTTAGGTTTGAAAGAAATAGCCTTACAATTTCGGTTACAATTGACCTTGTTGTGTTTGGTTTAATATTGTAGCCGTGAGTGAAAACCCTGAGAGAATAGTACATTAAAATACAAGTTTCATAAGACGTCATTCTATCATCAGATAAAATGTCTTATGAAACGAATATTTTGTACTATTTTTTCTATTTTGGTATTGTTTAATTAAAAAAAAACAATTTTTTCTTGGAAATTTTATTCTCATATTTCCTGATTTCATATGTTTAGGTTGGTAACACTACATGCCAAATATAGAAATCTTCTATTATATAGCGATTTTCATTTGTAGAATCAGTGCAAAAAAAAATATATATCGTTATCCTTCTTTTTCACATGCTTTCAGTAAAAGATGCATGGTTTGGAAATCGCGAATGACAGTTCGATGGCCATCAGTCAGCCAGTGTTACCAACCTCCGATAAGTAAAACAGGAGTGTCATAAAGAGCTTCTTTTCGAAACTACTTTTAGTGTCGAAAAGACTTCGATATGACACCAAAATAGAAAAAAAAATTGTTATAACACACTGTATTTGTAACTGAACCATAGCCATAGCGACGCACTTTATGAATAGACAGAATTAGAAAATTAAATTAAAATGTAACTTAATTAGTCTTTAATAGCGAATTTACTTGATAGAACTGTAGCTCTTGAAAATTATTGTAATAGGAAAATTGAAAATAATGTATCTGTGATAATAATTAATCAAATTAGACAAAATCAGATAAAGCTTTAATAGTAAAGAAAATGTGCCTCGAGTTTGCAAAGAAAATTTAAGGTTATGTTTTACCTGTTGAAACGGGTTTTATTTACCTCGAAAATACTCTGGATTAATCTGGATCGAGGTCTGGATTCGAAATCCTGGAGTGAGTGAGGTGGTCTTTACTATTGTCTATGGTCTTTACTCTACTCCTTAGGGCAGCTTTTCACTAATGATTAAATAGAAAAGGTCAGAATCCACTGTGGGAAAAAAACGTGCAAAGTAAAACTTACCGATTCGCTCGTTGTGAAAATCCGAAATAATCGGCGATTTTATAGCATTTTACGAAAACGAAACGCAACGTAAGGCAACTCAATGTATGTACTATAAATTCAATAATTGAGAATATTAGGGTCAAAATCCCTCAAGACAAAGTTTAATTTTTTCAGAAAGACCTTATTTCTCGGAAACCACCCAACGTGAAAAGAGAGAAGTATCACAGGAAATTAATTAGCTGTTCTAGATTTGAGGAATAGGGATGGCGCAAGGTAAAGACCGAGGTAAAGACAGATGTCAAAAATTAATCGGTAAAATTTTTACGTATAGTTTTTCCAAAGTCAATTGGAACAAGGTAAACATAAATCATAACTGGTGGCTGACTAGTAGCAGTGCATGGCTTATGGAAATTTTCAGTGACCAGTCAGCCACCAGTTGGTACCTTGTTCCAATTGAGTTTGGAAATACTATATCAAAAATTGCACACAAAATGAAATTAGAATATTGATTAAAACCGAGGAGAATCATTAGTCGTCACAAGTAAGAATAGAATTTAAATATTGAAAATAGGAAAATTTACAGAATCTGCAATTACTGTAAATATTGTTGAACTTTATAGAGGAAAAATGTAAACAAAGTTGAATGCTGAAAATAAGTGTGAAATAGTTAAAGTCAATTTTGGCACGTTACAGTATTGCATTTCTATTTTAAAACAAATGAATTTATTGTTAAAACTATTGTCTTATTTCTTTTCTTCCGACCTTCTTCAGGCCTTGCGCCCAAACATAACATGAAAAAATAATTCGCTTCCATTGCCTTCACCTTGCATTCTGAACAGCTAGAGCGTGAAAGGAAATAATAGAAAACTAATTTCATAAATTAACATAATTTTACTCTACAAGAATCAATTTTATTGAATAGATTCACACCAATTCGCTAAATATTTCACTAAATTGTTCGAAACCTGACCGCATTATACTAGTGCAAGAATTCTATTAATGGGAAATGAAAAACCACCGGATAATAAGTTGGCTAACGAAACATCCTTTCCCAAGCAAAACCGTCGTGAAGGAAGGTAGTGTGATAAATAACTTGAAACAAATTAACTTTATTCACAAAGCTATTTATTTCTCATTACATAAATCATAGCTCTCACCAACCTACTTTCTATAGCTACAAAAATTAAATTTGATTTGCATTGCGAAAAGATCTATATTGAAAATATCTTTATGATGGAAAATTACCAAGTTTTTGTTATGTTACATTATTCCAAAAAATCCTCACCCCCTGCATCGAATTGAAGATAACTATTATATAAAAAAACAAAAAAAGATAATTCCAATAAATCAACGTTTAACTGCATTAGCCCAGCGCATACTCGCCAGTCGTAAAGATGTTAGCCAACATATCAGAGATGGCGATCTCGCCAAATAAATTAGGGTAATTAAGAGAATCATGTCACCAGATTCCAGCACAATGATATGTGAATCTTCTTAATTATGCAGGATGCCGTCTTGGCTACCGCAGTTGCAACATTCTAAAAATGTGAGCTAAAATGGCTTTTATCGCATCGTAGGAAGCCCGCATCTGTGCGGTAATTATTGGATTTAGCGATAAAACCCTTGATTTATTTGATGTGATGATTATGATATAGTGGATAATAAATGTTTATTTTTTTTTATTTCAGATCTTCCGGCTGTTGAAAACGAAGAAACAATCGAAATGAGCGCCTCCACGTCCAAACCAACACCACCAGAACATGACGAGAATCTGCTCCTCAATACGGATCTTCCTATTTTTCTGACGGAACCTTTAAACTCATTCGTGGTCAAAAACCGAGCAGCCACTCTACATTGTAGAGCAGCCCATTCGCTCCGCGTCTATTTTAAGTGTAATGGAGCTCGAAAAGTGGAAACTCAGGACTTTCAGTTTGTTGATCCTCAAACTGGAGTGAGGATAATGGAAGCTGAAGCTAATGTTACCAGGGATATGGTAGAGGAGTTTTTTGGAAAAGAAAAATTCAAATGCGAATGTTACGCTTGGAACGGAAAAGGCAGTATCAAGAGTCAGCCTGCTACAGTGGAAGTCGCATGTAAGTACAAATTATCATGTCACCAAACTGTCTTACATCCTAATGCCTGAATAATGAAGCAATTAAAATCAGCTTTGCCTCTACCTGGTGCGAAATTAAGTCATAAACGGTGTTAGTTCATTTGACTCAAAGTGCTTATGTCCGGCATTAAAAACTACACATGCCATTAAATGTGTAAATTATTTTTATTGGTTGGATTTGTAATTACATACCTAAGTTTTGATAAGTTTACAGTGTCATTAAATATTGTGGCGATTTTATGCGTGTAATAAGGAATCGATTTCACTTAAGGCTTGTCTTTTTAGTGATTATTTTTCACGCATTTGAAAAATAGCCGTAATGGAAGGTTTATTCGACTTTATCGTTAATAAATTGCTTCTCGAGCGGCTCACCTTGAGCTATGGCCTGGATTATGTTAAAATCCGAAGAGACCATAGCAAAACGTATATACAACAAATTTATTTCTCGATTAATCATTTGTCCAGCAAGACAACAACGTATTTATCATCGGAGCCTCATAAAATGAGAGTTTCAGTTATCAGCTTTCAACAAGAACATTTTGAATGATTTGTGACTGGTGCGTGGAAATCTGAAAATAATGCTAGGAAATTTTTTTCGCCTATATATTGCCGTTTACTTCGTCATACTATAAACCCCGCTGAATGATTATATCAGTCTACGGATGGCCAAATTTCTGATTAATTTCCGCCCGAGGCTCTCCCAAGCTTTTAATGTGTGTAATTTGCTTTAATTGATTGCATGCGATTAGGTTAATTGGACTTGTCGATCAATTGAAGTTAACTATTTGGTTATGTATGAAAAAAACTTTATAGACAAATGGAAAATACCACATCACTTCCCGTGATGAATAAACTTCAAATAGACTAACTAGTTTCATGTTTCATACTTTGCGGTATATTGCGATTTTTGGTAAAAGTTCTTCATCCACACAACTAACAGTTATATAATGTAATTGTTCAAAATAATGTCCATCATTAAATTTTTTATAATAATCATATTAGGATGGCAGCACTTAATTTAATTTAGTTAATCAAGACCACTCTATAGTAACCGTTGATTTGATAACCGTTTATTTTATGTGCCATTTGCTTTGTCACAGGATAGAAAGAAAGAATTTGCTTTATTGTCAGAAAATTTTACAATTTTGTGGACTGAAAAAATAAAAAACAAAACATACAAATGCAAAAGCGCAGACAAAACCAAACACTTGAACAAATAGTTCATGGTCAAAATTTGATTAAAACTAATAAACAAACATCTAGGTCTAACTGCTTATACTGTGCGAGTAAGCATATTATAGGTACTAAAAAAACAAACAAACAATAACTTATAATAACCTATCATGATACAGGAACAAAAACAAAACCTGTGAGTAAGCTGCTCAAAATTTAGAATTAGGAAACCATAAACAACTCGCTTACTGTGTACAAGGCTCTCCTCAGCAAATACACCCTCAACGCCCTGCGAAATTCGAGAAAAGATGCAATGGACCTGATGTTAGGCGGTAGATGATTATGCATCCTTTTAGCATTATAAAGTATTGAACTTTTAACTAACTCTGAGCGCGGGATTGGCAGATAAAGATCCAACTCTGCGTTCCTCAGTGGATAATTGTGAGATGGCCTCTCTGAGATAGCTGATATTAAGTGCTTACGAATTAAGCAGACGGATTCGAAAATAAATAAAGATGGAAGAGTCAATATACTAGACTTGATAAAAAATTCCCGGCAGTGAGTTCTACTACCAAGTCTCAAAGAATAACGAAGAGCTCTCTTCTGCAGTCTAAAAATGCGTTCAAATTGAGACGCACAACACGTGCCCCAGAGTGGAAGGGCGTAACGTAAATGCGACTCAAAAAGAGCATAATATACCATCCTGCAAGTTGCCGAGTTAAGCTCCCTGGAAACAGATCTCAGTGCAAAACAGGCCGAACTTAATTTCTTTGCTAAGGCGTCGATATGCAGGTCCCACTTTAGAGATTTATCAACAACAAGCCCCAGGAATTTCACGGAATCAACGGCCTCCATGGTATTGTTATCCAGTACTACAGATTGGAGCGAAGCTCTGTAAGATAGAACTTTGGTTTTAGAGAGGTTGAGGCACAGGAGATTTGAGTCACACCATGATTTGATGGTGATTAAGTCACTAGATACGGTTCTATGGAGTTCCGTAATATCCGGGTTGCTCCAAGTGAAACTAGTATCGTCTGCGAAGAGACAAACTTTGCTGCTAATATCCAGACTAGCAATGTCGTTAATAAATAGCAGGAACAAAATAGGGCCAAGAACTAAACCCTGAGGCACATCACATTCAATTGGTTTACAAGAGGACATGGTCGAGTCCACCCTCACAAGCTGACTTCTGTTACCAAGATAAGACTTAAACCATTCGAGAGCCATTCCTCTGAAACCGTAGAACTGTAATTTGTTAATTAAGATATTATGATTAACACAGTCGAAAGCTTTGGAGAAATCACAGAAAATTGAGGTTGTAGAGTGGTGGCAGTTCAGGCTGGAGTATACATTATTGAAAAGGGAAAACATTGCATCATTAGTACATGCGTTACTTAGGAAACCGAATTGACTGGTAGTTAGAATATTATATTTAGAGAGAAATGATAGAAGCCTCTTTTTAACCAATCTTTCTATGATCTTTGATAGCGTAGGAAGGAGTGCAATGGGGCGATAGTTTGAAGGTAGCTCCTTATCACCTCCCTTATGCAGTGGGATAATTATCGCCTTCTTAAGACAGTTTGGAAAAGCTCCATTTAGAAACGACTTGTTGATCAGAGTAGTAAGATGTTTTAATGTGCAATCAGGAAGATTAGAGAACATTTTGAGGGTGAGTCCATCAGTCCCAGATGAAGATTTGTTTTTAATATCTTTGATTGTACTGCGAAGCTCTGGAACTACTACAGGCATGAAGAAGAAACTGTGTAAGTTCACCTTAGCATTCGGGAGATATGAAAGTGGGTCCTGGGAAGGAGTTAAGGTATTCACTAAATTCTTAGCCACATCAACAAAGTAATCGTTAAGGATCTCAGGTGAAGTAGGAATTTTGCTAGATGAAGAAGCCTTATTCCTCAAGTCATTAATAATTGACCATGTTTCTTTTGCAACATTTTTGGAGTTTGCCAGCCTCCTATTATAATAAATGTCTTTGGCGGCTTTTATGGTTTTCTGATAGACTTTTCGGTATAATTTTACGTAATCATTGAAGAAGACGCTATCCGAGAATTTTTTTAGATGAGACAAGGATCGCATATTTTTTCCAGAAGTACGCAAGCCACTAGTGGACCATGGTTTATGCCGTTTGACTTTGATGGGTCTGAGAGGAAAGGATTTAGTCGCCAGGTAAGATAGGGTATTTATGAATCTAGAGAACTCGGAGTCAACATCATCTGAGTGGACGACCCAGTCAACTGATAAGCAAAGTTGACTGAAATTTAAAAAATTTCCATCCGAAATAATAATAATAAAGAGATATTTATGTGAATTCGGTCTCGCATCATTACCTATGATAAGATTGAAACTAAATCTGGGAAAAATTAGTAGAAGAAGACATTTCCTGGAAAATTATTTATGAAAACAAACAAGAAAATCAGGAGGATCTCATCATATCTTATGGAAGTACTAAAACATCAGCATTCAATCATTTCAAAGAAAATCCGAGAAAAATAAATAAAAGTAGGAAGAAACTTGAGAAATTGTAAATACATGGAGTCCTATTCAAGATCTTTATGCTTTAGACACTGAAGAAATAAAATGAAATTAGTTTTTGTTTTGAAATTGGACCTCCTGATTTTCGTTTGAATTTTTCATGCAGGCCAGTTGATGTTAGCTTTTACCTCTCCATTTTCCAATTCTTTTATAGGTCTATAAACCTAGCAGTCCCAAGGTGGAAAAAAACTTCGGGAACTATATAATAATTAGGTGCTTTTTAGGTGCTAATTAGGGCCTCTAATTAAAAATTAGGTGCTCCTTTAGTTTTTGAGATAATCAAAAAAAAAAGTCAGTTAATAATTAATCAATTCTATTCTTTCTTCGACTATTTAGGAGCACCTAAAAAGCACCTAATTCTGATACAAAAGAAAATTTTAGAAAAAATATTTTTCATTATAGAGGACTACTAGCTTTCATAAACCTAGCAGTCCCTTAGATTTTTATTTTATATGCTCAAAAACTAGAGGAGCACCTAATTTTTAATTAGAAGCCCTAATTAGCACCTAAAAAGCACCTAATTATTATATAGTTCCCGAAGTTTTTTTCCACCTTGGGACTGCTAGGTTTATAGACCTATAAAAGAATTGGAAAATGGAGAGGTAAAAGCTAACATCAACTGGCCTGCATGAAAAATTCAAACGAAAATCAGGAGGTCTATTAAGGAGCACCTAAAAAGCACCTAATTCTGATACAAAGAAGAAATTTGAAAAAAATATTTTTCACTTATAGGGGACTACTAGCTTTCATAAACCTAGTAATCCCTTAGTTTTTTTTGATTTTCTCAAAAACTAGAGGAGCACGTAATTTTTAATTAGAGGCCCTAATTAGCACCCAAAAAGCATCTAATTATTATATAGATCCCGAAGTTTTTTTTTCCATTGTGACACATCAACATGTAAACGTAAAGCTAGCAGTCCCCTAATAATTAAAAAAAAATTGTAACTCAGTTAATAATTAATCAATTCTATTTTTTATTGGACTATATAGGAGCACCTAAAAAGCACCTAATTCTGATACAAAGAAGTAATTTGAAAAAAATATTTTTTACTATAGGGGACTACTAGCTTTCATAAACCTAGCAATTCCTTAGTTTTTTTTTGATTTTCTCAAAAACTAAAGGAGCACCTGATTTTTAATTAGAGGCCCTAATTAGCACCTAAAAAGCACCTAATTATTATATAGTTCCCGAAGTTTTTTTCCACCTTGGTTTATAGAACTTTCTTTTGTCCATTCAGTCGTGAACATATCCTGTTAATG